TGGCACCTGTTTACAGGGTTATTCCGAAGAGTAAATCAGCAGTGTAGGTAAAGTGTTATAAGTCCCTCTAGGACATACGTGTTCAGTCATGTGGATGGGCTAACAGTGTAGTGAGTGGTAGGGTTTAGCCAGTAAGGTCAGAGTGTGTTTCTTATTATCATCCAGTCATTCCACTTGATTAAACGTTTTTTCTTCATCTTTGCTTTCTTAAGATGTAAGAATCATCATGTCATCAGGGCTGGGGATTTAGATCAGTGGCTTCAGTGCACTGGCAAGCACAAGGTCATGAGTTCGATCCTCAGTACAAGCAAAAAAAAGAAGAATCATGTTGTCTCTTACAAGTATCTTTGAAAATTTGAAATATTCACATTGATTTTTTAAAAAGATAAATTAAGGAACATAGTTTGATTCCTTGCATTAGTTGGTCATAGATAGTAAGAAACTTATTTTCATGAGACTATGAGTTTCTTTCCCCAGCAGCTATATAAAATTAGTTTCCTCTCTTTGGAGCATTTCTATAATACTGTCCTCTATATTTGAATCCTTCTCACAAATATTATGGAGGACAGAAAAGCAATAAAATTATACTTATAAAATCAGAATAAGTTACTCAGCACGGAAGACTTTAATTTATGAGATAATTTTCATGAATTTCTAAAGATTATTTTACAGAGAACTTGATTATGCTTCTGTGTGTCTTTTTAATTTTTTTTTCTCACTTGATGAACCCATAAATACCAGATTTAGAGTTTCTTTGAGGAGAATTATTTTTAAGTCAGCCTTAAAACGGGGAGAACAAAAAGAAAGCATTCAGTTATGTTCCACAGCCCTAACTGGTGACTTCTAATAAATGATGAACTCTGGGCATAGAGGAAAACTACAAGTGAAATTGAAATAAAATTGCCTATGACCCTGACTCGGTCTTGCTTGGTTTTTGTTATTGCTAAAATGTTAATCATAACATAAGTGCTCATGGGAGAACATGGCGGACAGATAGCAGCAGCTACGGAGGCTCTCTGAAAGACCCAGCTTAGAATCCAGGAATGGTGTGGTGTGAGGAATCCTAAGCAAGAGAGGAGATATGCCCTGCTGACCCAAGAATGAACTGGGCTGAGAGAAACCAACTGGGAATGCAATCCTGGTGCAATAACAGGAACAGATAAAGCCTCAGCGTCGAAGCTGGAGCCCGCGGGATTGGAAACCGCGATTTGGGTTTCCTGCCGCCGCGGATGCGTCTGAATCGGCTTGGCAGGGAGACAGATTCGTGAAAGCTCTGAGAAGGAAATTGGTGAACGGAGTTGAGAGCAGGACGGGCGGGGAGCCATGCATCGACCTGTGGTGAGTCAGAGAAACTGGGACTCTTCCACAATCTAGGAGGCTCCAACAGAGGACATTCTGGGACCGGGCAGACTTGCCGGAACAAGGCACTGTAGTGACTTCAGTCACATATCCCCCTTTCAAGTGGGACTGGTAAACAGTGCCTAGCCTACGGACGCTGCTGGCCGAGACCCAGTAGGCTAGCACAGCCCAGGTCCCAGCACCTGAAGGTGACCTGGAGGGGCGGGCCCCACATAGGCTGCCTGGTCCATAACTCTCTGGTGTGCTGCGGTGGGCGGGAACACTTAGCCAGCGCAATTCAATCAGACTGTGGCCAACAGGGAAGGAAGTGGGCCTCCTATATATGCTTGCATATATAAGGAACAAAGAATATGGGAAGAGGGAGCAACAAGAAAGGCCCCTCAGCCCCCAATCCTGAGAAACAGGCAATAGTGGACACCGCACCAATAGACATAAAGCGCTATCTCCAGAGCCTCATAGACAAGTTCAGGAATGAAGTTATTAATGACCTGAAGCTATAAATAAGCAGAATAGTTAGAGGAATGCTAAGCACCACCCAAGAAAAAACAGATGGTGGAATGGAAGAACAGAAAAAGAGGGGAGAATTGTTTGATGGAGAAAATAGAGAAAGCATAGAATATGTGAAGCAGGTTCAAAGAGATTACCAGGAAACTAAAAACTCTATCGAAAACTGGCATAACAGCTTGAAAGAAACTACGGACAGATTATCTGAACTGGAGGGCAGATTTGTAATATGGGAGAATGAAATGAAAAACTTCTTAAAAATAACAAAGAAACAAACAGCAATAATACAAAGACTAGAAGATGATAAGAGGATCTATAACTTAAGAATTAAGAACATAAAAGAAGAAGTAGGGACACAAACAAATGAACTACAAAAGCTACTCACAGAAATAATCCAGGAGAATTTTCCTAATTTAGCAAAAGGTAAAGATACTCAGTTGTATGAAGCATACAGGACCTCAGCCACCTACAACCCAAACAGAGCAACACCCAGGCATATAATTAAAATTCCAGAAATCCAATACAAGAACAGAATATTAAAAGCCGTCAGAGACAAGAAACAGATCACTTACAAGGGAACACCCATCAGAATTACAGCAGACTTCTCAGCACAAACCATCAAATCACGAAGAGTGTGGGGGGAAATAATTCAAGCTTTGAAAGATAATAATCTCCAGCCAAGATTGATGTATCCTGCACAACTATCCCTGGAAATTGATGGAAAAACAAGGTGCTTCCTGGATAAAGAGGAACTAGGGAAATATGCAACCACCAATTCAACTCTACAGAGAATACTGCAGGATATTCTAAAAAAGAAAAATACGAAGAATCCAGAAATAGTGGCAGAGAGGCCACAATGAATGGACCAGAAAACAAAATGAAGAAGACAAACTGACAATTAATGACAGAAAAAGAGCTCAACAGAAATGAGGCAGAGAAGATTGGATGATAGGAACAGCTATTTTGGAAAAAATGACATCTTAATAGGTAATACTGATTTAGTATCATCTTGTTTTGAAGTCTCATCAAGCTTTTGTTCTTCTGTCTCCATTGGTCTAAACAGGTTGTATCTTACTGGATTTTATTATGTATGATAGTAAAAGCAAAAACTTTTATAGACAAGGGGATTATACAGAAACCATTGTTCATTTTCTGTTAGTTGATTCTAAATACCCTGTAATACTGTCATTCTCTTAAATGGTTTTACATTGTTTTGATATATTTGATGCTACAGTATACAAAGTTATACTCAAAGATTTCAAGGAAAGAGACAATATGGTAACTACTTTTATGTTGGGATTATCTTGTGGTGAAACACTATTTTGCTTAAATGGTTATGTTTTGATCTGCGCTGTTTTGCTGTTATGCCCTCTTTTATCTCAATCTCCATTTTATTATTTACTTTTTTATTTTTATCCTTTTAATTAAGGGAAAAATAAATAAAAAAATAGCAGGATATATTATAGTAACCCACTTTGACTCTCCATTATCTTGATTTAAAGCCCTGTATTGCTCTCACCATCTTGTTTTGACTGATGTTCCTCTATTCTGTTTTGCTTGATAGTACCAGGTTCGAAAGTTTAGGCAACAGCTGTGAAGATAGTGGGATTCATAATGACGCCCATTCTGGTTGACTATTATCTACTTTTGAAGACCTATAATGTCTCCAATGTTTTGGTTTTGCCGGTTTTGTTCTTTAGTGTTTTGTTCAATTTTATTATAACTGATGATATAGGCAATTCTATTAGAGATAGCGAGCGGGAGGCATTCTGGTAACCATTGTTGATCACCTTGTATTATGCTTTTGCATTATCTATTATGTTCACCCTTTTGATTTGACTGACTCTGTTCTGTTATGTCATATTTGGTTCTACTCTCTTCAAAAAAAGTAATAAGAACTGTGGGAGCAACAAAACCCAAAATGAGTAATTGTCATTGTACAAAAGAGAAGAAAAGAAAGTGCTCAGGGGCTGGGGATTTAGCTCAGCGGCATAAGCGCCTGCCTTGCAAGCAGGCAGTCGTGAGTTCGATTCCTGGTACCGATAAAAACGAAAACCACAAAAAAAAAAAAAAAAAAAAAAAAAAAGAAAAGAAAGTGCTCTAAATGATATAACTGCATGTATATTTAAGTGTATAAGATAAATAATGATATTACTGAGTTTTGTTGGATCATTGAACAGAACTGTTTACAGTCTCACTGTTGGAATGTCCACTTTATAAGCTTTAATTTTGTAACTTGAACAAGTATTTCTAAATGACAATATGTAATCCATTAACTAGTGATTTCCTACTGTTTATTTTTTTCTGTAAATCTGTATAACTTGTACCCTTTCTCTGCTTTTTTTCTTTTTCTCCTTAAATAAAATTAAAAAAAAAAACATAAGTGCTCATGGTTTCCTAATAGTCTAAAATTTGTTCCGTTTTGTTTGGCCCTCTGTTCTATTTTTAAACGGCACTCAAAAAAAGAAAACAGAAAGAAACTTGGAAAGGATGTTAAAGGAAGAGACAGCATGAAAGCATGGCCAAGGTGTCTGAGATTTTTCTCGTTTGTGTCAGTGGGGCGTGTGGGTGATAAGTTACCCGTGGAGGCGCTTCCGCTTGGTCCAAATGAGCAACCTGTTTTCAGTACATGGGAGCTCTCCGTGCTCCCCAAGCTTGGGAAGTTACAGGCTGGGGCAGATGGATTCTTTTGCTGGTGGTGTCACTTAAACTTTCATTCTCAGCCCACCAGTCCCTTTTCTCACAAAAGCTCCTCTACAGAGTCGGTAAGATGAGCAACAAAGACTTTCTTCGATCATATGGGTAATGCCGGAAAGAGACAGAAAAAAAACACAAGATACGTGGCTGGGAAGGAGTGTGGGAGTGAATGAAAAACCTAGAGCAGAAGCCGTGAAACTAAATTGTTTGAATAAAAGGATAAAAAGAACCGTTACTCTGCGTGGCGTGTGTTGATCTCGTAGTAGTCTGTGTAACTTCCTGTGAGAAAGGTGCTGGCTGCAGGATGTGCTGGCTGCATGGTTCGGTGACGGTGGCCTCTGACGTGTGTGCACAGCCTGACCCTTGTGTGGTGTGGAGCTGTGGGGTGATGGTGGTCAGGAGCCTGGCACAAGCAGAACCTTCTTTATTCTCTTTTCCAGATTTTCACCTGATGGCAGACTAATTGTGTCATGCAGTGAGGATAAAACAGTTAAAATTTGGGATACCACAAATAAGCAGTGTGTTAATAACTTCTCAGACTCTGTAGGGTAAGTTCAGTGTGTTTCTACATCCCTGTGTCCGTTTGCTGAGAAGATGTTTCATTATAACAATTTAAATAAATTAGGGTAATGAAATTGCTACATTAGACCATCTTATTCTCTCTTCCTAGGTTTGCAAATTATGTGGACTTTAACCCTAGTGGTACATGCATAGCTTCAGCAGGATCTGATCATACTGTGAAAATCTGGGATATAAGAGTGAACAAATTACTCCAGCACTATCAAGGTAACAAATCCTCCACCAAAAAAAAAATTTTTTTTCAATTATTGAACGGCTGCTCTGGGAAAGTCTGATTCTGCTTAGTACTGTGGCTTGGTTTCTGGGGGACTCGGGAGCTGCATTTGGGCTGACTGGAGAAAGTAACAGCAGAAGCAAGAGGGGAGAGGAAGGAAAACAGCTTTACACATGAACCGAGGGCTGTAGACGTTACTGCAGGGTTTTCAGATAGTTGCATGCATTGTAGAGAATTCAAGGAGAGAAAGCCGCTCTGAATTCTGAATTACAGAGTTATATGAGCCTCAGTAAATATTAAAACCCAGAGAAAACAGCTTGTTAATATACCTGGGCCTTTGTATTGAAACTAACAGAGAAGCGAATTGGCTTTCTTGGTTTATATTTACTTCACATAGCTAAAGTAATAGCTACCACTGGCTGTTTACCATGTGGCCACTGCTGTGCTAACCCCTCAGAAGATTTCTAAGAGCTGCCATCATTGCCCTGATTGTAAAAATAAAGGCATTGAGGCGTCAGGAGAGTAACTTGCTCAAGTAATTGATGGAGCTGATTCTGGTCTTTCTGCTGGAGAGACAGTCTTGCTGACTGCATTGCGCTGCCTCCTGCTGGAAGGATGATGCCGTCCAGAAATGAATTCTCAAACGCCGGCTCTGCACACATGTGTCATCTCTTAACCCCAAGTCTCTAATTGCTTGTGACGTTTGAGGACAGGTTATACACCTTCTAGCAGCTGATGCTAACCGACTCTTGATTGTATTGGTAATGTAGCCAAAGACGTTATACTTACGTAGTCAGCCAGATTATGTCTACCTGACGGTCTCGTTTACAAAGTTTCCTGTCTCATTCACCATAAGCAATGTAATGCCAAATTATTTATTCATTTTAGTGAGCCACTGCCTCTAATCGATTATCATTTTTCAAACTAATATTGCTAATGAGACAAAGGAGCATCTTTGGAATTAAGAAGTGTTCTCTGCAGGGAAGAAAAGCACTTTTTAAGACTATAAAGAAAAGCAATTATCCATGTTAAAAATCATGTGATAGTAAATAATTGTTGTTTGAATTTTTGTCCTTATTTTCTGCAAATTAGTTCACTCCGGTGGAGTTAATTGTGTCTCGTTCCACCCTTCGGGTAATTACCTCATCACTGCCTCTTCAGATGCTTCGCTTAAGATTCTGGATCTCCTAGAAGGAAGACTCATATACACACTTCAAGGACATATGGTATTAACACTGAGATTCTTACGTTTTAAATAATGCCTGTTTGAAGTTCAATCCGTTTTATGATATGCCTTCATCTTCCCAGGTGTACCACAAATTGCTGCTAGCACTAACAGTTTTTACTTTCAAGACTGTTTTTATGCTGTTTTTTCAAAATCCATGTCTTCCAGTGGCCATTAATTGAGTAATGCCGCCTTCATCTGTGTGTGGCACAGGTTGCCTGTGAAAGGGCCAGAAGTTCATTCATTACTTGTGATTTCCTGCGTGCAGAGGCCGTCCCGGTGGCTCTGACACAGCCGCCCACGCCCCTCCCGCACGCCTTTTGCTTATTTGAGAAGGGGAGTTTGACAGGTAGCCCCGGCCTCTCGCAGGCCCTGCGCTTGGCAGGGAGCCGTCCGTGCACACCCTCTGCTGCTGCCGCCCGCCTCTTACGCAGAGGCTCCCCTTCCTCAGCATGCCTTGACTGCAGTCAGACCTGACTCACTCTGGCCGTGGGCTCCAGAGAACCCATTTGCTTTGGAGAGGAAAGCCATGTTCTTTTTCTACACCCTTTTATTGGAAAGAAAGCTGATAGCTTGGCTTATAAGCCTTATTTCTTTGTCGTGTTTCTCCACTGGTTTAGAGCCAAGTGGGGCAGGCAAAGGGAGACATTTTTTATGTATATAGTTATGTGAAGCATTCCTCCCCGGTGGGGAGTCAGCCTGCTTTGAATTTTTTAGAACACGTATTTTAATGTACAGGAACTTGCTCTTAACCAAGCATGAGCTGTTTCCACCTGGAAATGGAAGGACTTGGCGGCCTAGCAGGGCAGGAGCCCTTCTACCTGTGCGTTCCCTGCTGGTCACCGGCTTTGCTTTATCTTTTGTTCTGCAGCAATGGAGAGTGAAGCAGAAATGGACTTAGCTCAGTTAGATGTACACACATGGGGTGAGTGTGAATAAACACAGCCGGTAAGAGTGGCCAAGGATTGAAATATCCATGAAGGAAGTACAAAGCAATTGAAAAAACGAGCCCAGTATCTTAGGAGAAAAAAACAAAACTATACAGGAAGAGGAAACTGTCCACAGTCTAGACATGAAGCTGTTATGAAGCTATGAAGCTTAAGTCTGTGGAGTGATCTACCTAAAAAATTCAAAATGTTTTTCCCAAAACTGTTCTTGTGTAGTTAAGGACACATTTTAAAAATAAACAATATGTTAGTATTTTTAGGATGAGAAATAATCCCTCTTCTCTTGATTGAAAAATCTGACCTATAGGCTGTTCATCCTGTGGCTGTGCCAAGTACAACCCCACAGCTAATTTCTCAATTGAATTTTAAGTTCTGTTTTCTTCCACCGAGATAATTATAGCAACTTCCTGCCTGGCCTCCAGCCTTATTTGTGCTTACTCCTGGTCATCGTTCTCTTAATGGTGGTCCCGATTTTCACCATCACAGCTTTCCTCCTGTGTCTGGCTCTTAATCATTCAGCGGCTCGCTGTTACCCACTTCAGATGGGAGAGCTCGGTGGAGCCTGCTGTGCCCAGGGAGTGAGCGTTGTTTGTGTATCCTTGGTCCCATCACCTGCGTCCGGATCATCCCCCTCCTGCTAGTAGCTGATTGGTTGAGCACAGAAAGCCAGAAACTATTATGACTTTCTATGTGTGCGGGCTTTTCTTTAAAGGAGAAAAGATGGTTTTCTTGTGGATTTTTAGTATAGGTATTCCTTTTTTGTTAAACACCTTTGTATTCTAATACAGTCGAGTTGGTTCTTTGATTATCTTTACTCTGCCAGCATTAGTTGCTAGGACCTAGGTGTGTTCTATCAGTCTTAATGCATAAATAGTCTGCAAAAATTAGGATAAAAAGTTGATACTCATTGTCCTTTTGACCATAAGATGGTCAAAGGAATGATTTGGGGATGACAGTGCACACTGTATGTACCATTGTTGCCCCCAATTGATGTGTTTTGATTTTTTTTTCTTTTCATTTACAATAAAATGCATTTGAAAAAGAAAAAAACAAGAAAAAAGAAAGCACCACCAAGTACTTGTGTTTTGTCTCCTATTTTTTCTTAGGGACCTGTCTTTAGTGTTTCATTTTCAAAAGGTGGAGAGCTGTTTTCATCAGCAGGTGCAGATACACAGGTTTGTACACCTTTCAATTCTCTCTTTGATTTGAAATCTGACTGTGATAAAGGAATCTTTGACCTCAGCTAAGATTTGTATAGCTAGCTAGTTTGTGTATGTTAAGATGATTATCGCTGGGTTTATACTTTAATTTAGTGACAGGAAGTCTGCTGTCTGATGGCTGAAACAGTTCCAGTTCAAATAGTTTTTTAATTCAGCAGTTATTTTCTTTTGCTCATTTTTACACTGAATTATACATGAAACTCATATTTACTCAAGGAGGGGGGAGCTGTTTTACTTGAATTATTTCTTTTTGTCTGTATATCTTGTTTCTTCAAATGTTGTTTCTTCTTAAAGATGGTCCATTTAAACTATTTGAGGCAGATCTGCATTTACTTGAAATGAGCCTGATTTAGGTATTTACTCATTTTTTGTTTGTTTTTGCAGTGCTGGGGTTTCAACCAGGACCTTGAGCCAGGCATGGTGGCTCATGCCTGTAATCCCAGCACTCGGGACGCTGAGGTGGGAGGATTGTTTGAGTTGAAGACCAGCCTGGGCTACAAAGTGAGCTCAAAGCCAGCCTGAACTGCATAGGGAGACCCTGTCTCAAAAAACACAAAAACAAACAAACACACAAAAACACCCAGGACCTTGGCATTATGCTGTATTCCCAGGCTATATTATCAGTAGCAGCAGTAGTAGAATTTTTGTTATTGTTATATTTTGAGACAGGGTCTTTGGGCTGAGACTTGCATTCCTTCTCTCTGCCTCCCAGAATGCTCACATTGCCTACAGTTAATGAATAAAGTGGATGATCAGGCTGTATGGTAGTGCATAATTGTAATCCCAGCTACTCTGGAGGCTGAGGCAAGAGGATCATAGGTTTAATGCCAGCCTGGGCAATATAGCAAGACTTGCCTATCTTAAAAACAAAAAGGAACAGAGGATGTAGCTCAGTGGAAGCATGAAACAATACTGAAATATGTCTGTGTTCGTGGCTGACCTTCTTACTGCTTGGAGGGGTGAATCTTTATATTCATTTTTTTAAAACTCAATTCTGTCGTTTGTGCATGCAAGACAATAAATGCCAATATCACTGACTTTTCTTAGATCTTACTATGGAGGACTAACTTTGATACATTGCATTGTAAAGATCTTAGTAAAAGAAATCTCAAAAGACTGCATTTTGATTCGTCACCACATCTGCTTGATATCTACCCAAGAACTCCACATCCTCATGAGGAGAAAGCTGAGACTATTGAAGTGAGTATCTTGTGCACATTTGTCCTTCATTTCTGTATCAGAGTGGGCTGTGAAAGTGTGTAAGAACTAGTCCTGCCCTGAAGCACACTGACAAAGTCAATTGTTTCCACTAATAAAATGAAACTCGGTGCATATGGTACTATGTGATAACTTTAAAAGCCTCTTATATTCACTTCTTGAAGGCCTCGAAGTAAAACTAAGAAATCGTGTTGATTGGGGGCTGGGGATTTAGCTCAGCGGCATAAGCACCTGCCTTGCAAGCAGGCAGTCGTGAGTTCGATCCCTGGTACCAGAAAAAAGAAAAGAAAAAAGAAAGAACGAAATCGTGTTGATGGTAATAGGAAATAAGAAATTAAATCAGAGCCCTCTGCTAACTCTGAAGTCTGAACTGGCTTTATCATCTGGCTGTTTTTAGGACGGTCCCTTGATGAATATCATGAGAACAGTACTAAAGGGCAAGGGTTTTTATCATGGTTATTGCAGTGGGCATCTTGAAATCCTTTTATAGTGAAAGCGATTGTGAACAGTAAAAAGATTTAGACAGTAAATCTAATAACTGAGATGATTTGATTTCTAGCCTACATATATTTTTAGATATATTATCTAACTATAAGGGTTTTTTTGTTTGTTTTGGGTTTTTGTTGTTGTTGTTTGGCCTTTTTGAGACAGGTCTGGTGTGCAGGTTCAGGCTGGCGTTGAACTCACTTTGTACCCCAGGCTGGGCGCCCAAAGAGTGCTGGGATTACAGGCCTACACCACCATGCCCAGGGTAACTCTAGTTTTATGGTTTATTTTGGCTTTGGTTTTTTTTTTTTTGTGGCACTGAGACTTGAACCCAGGCCCTTGGTACTGAGCTATATCCCAACTCTCCCCCAGCCTTTTCTGTTGAGCCGAGGTCTTGCTAAGTCTCCTCAGTTGCCCACACTGGGTTTGCAGTCCCTTGTGCTTCTGCTTCCCGCAGGGCTGGATTTCAGGCCGCGCTCCACACCCAGCGTAAATGTAGGTTTTCGGTGGTGAATTCCCTTAGGTCCGGCAGATGTAAGTGTCCCCTCTGCAAACGCAAGTTCATCTTTGCTGAGTTTCCCCTCTAGAAAAGCGGTGTTATTCCATCGATTACCATTTTGTTTGATTTTTCTTAAATCTTTTCCTGAGAGCGGATGTAAGAAATCATTATTCCCTGTTCGCCTGTTTCTCTGATTGTCTTTAAATCATCGCAGAGCTTTGCTTTGCTTTCAGAGCGGGTATTCGAGCCCAGAGACTTGCTCCTGAGGGAAGACGCACGGTAGCCTCATTCACTGTTCAGAAGTGGGCCCCAAACGGGCTTCCTGTGGTGCCCGAGTCGCCCCTGCCAGTCACTTCTTAAATCTGGTTTCCTTTGTCTTGGTCTTTGCTGTGATTTCGGGCACTTCTGCTGGTCTCTGGCTCTCCGTGTGTATATACGTATCTCTTTTTCCTCCTTTGTTTTACACTGTTTGGGCTATTTTTACATTTTTTGTTTAAACCAGCCGTATCTTGGGATTTGTTTCGGTTTTCCCTTGGTAGTGTTGATTTTCAGTTCTTTGCTATAAGTTTTTTCATTTCTCACTTTGACAGTCTTCTGGTCCTTCTAAGATATGAACCACAGTGTTTCACTACTTGTGCATGCTGCTTCTTAGAGCATCCCTGTTTCTTTTACCCTCTGAAAGAAGGAATATAACATGTGCTTCTTCACATTTTTCTTCAGTTTGTACAATTATAGGTGTATGTGTTGATCTGATGTGATCACATATGTTCATGAAAAATAAACATGAAATAGACTTTAACTCAAGTATTCTTTTCTTGTGTAACCAAAGCTGGAGTGGTTTCTGGCACTCTCGGTATTTGTTCTGAACTCCGGTCTCGTGCCGAGCTTCATCAGGTGAAGGCACCCTGCTGCCTGTCACCCGCTCAGTCACTGTCACAGGGTACAGGGCTGTAGAGCCACCACCGCTCGGCCTCATCCTCCCTCTCCCAGCACATTTTCCCTGTGACTTATCACCAGCCTCCGCTCATTTAAGGGAGCCAGACAAGTTGTCTGGGTAGCTCCAGTCTGACTCTGCATCCAGGAAGCCGGGAGACCTGCCAGGTTGCTTTGTAATGCTAGGTCAGGAGGAGCCGGGCTGTTCAAAGCCACTCTCAGTTGTATTTTTCACATTTACACTGAAAAATCCAATTAAAAACGGACTTTCCATAGAGTTCAGCTGATGCTGACTTGTTTTTTGTGGCTCACCTAAATTAGGTGTATAATTTTAAAAAACACTGTCAGATCCTGTGATATGAAGCCCCAGAGAGCATTCTACCTGTGAACAATCAATTATTCATTTTTTAAAATTCCACCAAAAGCAGAGGTATAAAAATGTACCGTGTTCTCGCGGCTTGAAGCCCTGGTGGTACAGTGTGCCCGTCCCATCTGGCAGTTTGAGCCACTTGTGGTACAAACAGACCGCAGCACTTTCATTGGCTTTCAAGGGAGGTGAACTCTCAGATGCTGTTTTGGAAATATTTAAAAACTGCAAACACTTTTAAGTAGTCATGATTTAAAGAAAACAAATATGAAGATGTGTAGAATAAGCAGCACCCCAGTGATTCTTTCTTTCACTTTCTCTTTCTGTGGTAATCATGGGTGTTCGATGCTTGAGCTTGCAGCAAGACAGCCTTCCTGCGATTTCCATCTCATGCTCTCCGTAAGGCTCATTTGAGTTTTCAGTCTCACTCTTCTGGACCAAACCTTGATGCTTTACAAAAGCTACGCCCTTGCCAGCCTTGAGTGCTTTGCTCGTCTGGTGGTAGAGAATCCGGCCAAGTCCCAGATCTGAGCACCAGCTGACTAACTATATACATCAGGGATTCCTGCACGGGCAGAGCGGAGATGAGCCAGATTGCTCTGTAGAACACCCAAAGAGAGGGCCTTGTGGAGCAAGGTACGGGGCACTGAACCCCTGCTTTGTGAAACAGACCCCTGCCCGCCCTGCACTGGTCCATCTCTTCATCCACGGTCTTGGTTCCTGGCCTGAGCACTCTGTCTTAATTAAAAACACTGAAAACCAAAATGCCTGCTCCTCGTCCTCCCCTCCTTCCCTTTTTCCCCTCCTCCTTCTCTTCCTCCCCCGCCCCCATCCTCTTCCTTCTCCTTCTTTGGGAGACCTCAGTGTTCACACAGGAGACCTTAGCCTAGCCGGCGACACTGGCCTCAGCATGTCACTATGGATGCTGGCCTTATCTTCTCCACACTGTCACAAGCTCCCTGTGACCAAAGTTTCCTTTCAGAAGAACAATTTAATACACGTCCATGACTCTTTTCTCCGGCGTGGTCCCTTCCTTTTTGCATATTTGAGAAGACATTAAAGCCTTCCAAGGGACAGTGATAGGTCTTGGTGACATTACAGCATAAAAATAGTTACTCCTGGGGAATTGTAGGATATTGCAAGAAAGGATACTAAACAGTATTCTAAATAGTATTTGTTAATAAAATGTTTTGATGGTTTTCAGCTTTTTGATGGCCATTTGAGATGTTCCTAACCTATAAATTTGCACATGAACTTTTGTATGACACTCAGCAGAAAGGAGTATATCCTTTAACTTGACCAAATATGTGTATATTAATGTTTTATGATAAAAGTCTGGTGATGATTCAGTGTGAAAAACTATACCTGATCAATTTAAGTCTTCAACTCTGAGATATGGTTTTTATCTCAGTCTTCTAATGAGATGTTAAACATTGCTGTTTTGGATTTTTAAAAAATAGTACTTTGTATTTTAATATATTTTAAAATCTCTATAAAAGTACTATTTTTATCCACCTGAGAAATTGAGGCGGGCTGGGAATTTAGCTCAGCGACATAAGTGCCTGCCTAGCAAGAGCAAGGTCATGAGTTCGATCCCCGGTACCGAAAGAAAGAAAGAAAGAAAGAAAGAAAGAAAGAAAGAAAGAAAGAAAGAAATTGAGGCACATGTAAGTTAAAGCTAGCAGGTGTCAGCACTAGAATTTTAACCCAGACTCTGCTTCCACGCTGTGTTTTTAACCACTTTGGTGAACACTGCACTTCTGTAACACTGATTGAGTGCCATCCAGTCAGCAGAGACTGTACTGAAGCACCTATGCGCTTGGCATCCTCCCGCGTCACCCAGCTCTGCAGGGGACAAGCCGGCCACACACCTCGGCCCCTGTAGTCTGGTGACGGCCCTGGGTGGGTAGCGCAGCTGCCGCTGTCCCGTGGCCCAATGGCTCTGATGTGGGACGCGGACTGGGCCTGGGACCCCTGAGGTCGTCCATGTCCCCCTTTCCGGCACCCCAGAGTCCCATTGACTAACTCTCATTGAGCTGGTGCGAACTTGCTCTGTCGGGAGGTGTCCTGCTCATGTGCGGCATCTCGTGCCGCCGTGCATGACAGTACTGTCTCTTACATTAGTTTTCATAGGTAGAGCGTACCAAGGGTTTTTTAAAATGAGAGATACGTGTTTATTCTTTCCATGTCATTTAGACTTCTTTCCCCCTGAGCTATTCCTATTTCTGGCGATGAACCCGAAACCGATTTTCATGGATTAGCATTTCCTGTGTACACTAGGTGGCAGCAGACGCCAGAGAAAGTGCCTGCGCGCAGGGCCTGGACAGCTAGCCCAGGCTCGGAAGGCAGGGAGTTGCCCTCAGGTTTTCTGAAGTTGTTTCGGTTTCGGTTTTAGCAGACTCAGAGCTTGTGGGACAGCGGGAAGCTGCAGAGCTGTTGGCTGGCGGCCCTCGGTGTCGCCCTGCACCTGGGTGCCCTGCCCGACTGTCCCACGGCGCTTCCCCGTCCTGCAGTTTCCGAACCGCAGCGCCTCCGACCCCTGCGTCCGGTGCTCTCACCGTCTGACCCTCGCCAGTTTCTCCAGCGCCTCTGATTTGCCCCCGTGCAAAAGTGTGGTGTCCACCTCGAGCCTCTGCGCGGCGCTGCGCAGCGCCTGCTTCCCCGCAGCTTGCATGGCTCCCTGTTTCTCAGGCCTCAGCAGTCAGCAGGCTGCGCTTTGAGGCTCAGTATCCTTCCTTCGATGCAGATTCCTGCTCTGCTGTTGCCTTTTGTTTACTTCTTATATTTATGACGTTTGCATATTACTTTTTACGTTTTTGAGCCTCTGGATTTTGAAATCGCCTCTCTCAGAGGTAGTCGTTCTAGGGCAGCCATTCCTTGCTCTTCTATATATCTTTGAATCAGTCGGTGGCTTTGATGGTCACATCAAATTTATTTTTCTCTAACTTCCTTATTAATTTAACGTTGGACTCATGAGATGCATGTATGCAAATTCTGATTCTTTACACTCATGTGTTGTAGAATTGCATTTCACTCATTTTCACTGCTATATCCTATTCCAATGAATTTATCATGGTAGTGGTTCCCATAATCTATTTTACTACTAAGAGATACTTGATTACTTCCACTTTTAGGGGAGTTGATCATTATGAACAATTTATAAACAAGGTTGACATCATTGAACTTTATAGTTCTTGTAATCTGATGGGTTTTAAATGGTGTTTTTCTTTAATTTTTACTTTTTTCATTAATATTTCTGAGCATCTCTTCATATATTGATTCAACTGATAGATTTTCACTTATGTAATTTTTTTTCTTTAGGATTACTTTTATTTTCATATTTATTTATAGATTTTTCTTATATATTTGCTCTTTTTCTATTTTATAGATCTTAACATCTTTTTCTGTTCTGTATCTGATTATTCATTTTGTGGTGTCTTATTAAGGAGAAATCCTGAATTTAATTCATCTTGCTTTTTAAAAAAATTTTTTTTAAATTTTGTTTTTGCAGTTTTGTCTTTTTCAGCCTCTGGTTATAAAGATGCTCCTATACATTTACTATATAGTTTTAGTGTGACATTTAGTTTTATAATCTACCCACTGCTCACCTTTTTATGTAGTGTTAGACAGGGATCCATGTAGTTAGCTCAACTATAAATCAACCTGCCTTTATAAATTTCTGTTCCTGTTTTTTTCTTCTGTGCATGTGTTTTCCATTTGTTCAGGGCTCTGCATCTGCTCTTTATTGGAGGTTTTTTAATATCAGCATAAGTTTTATACTTCCCTCCCTACAAGGTCTCACATATCTTTGTATGTTTGATGTGTTGTATTTTTAAACTTGTATAGTATTATAAATAATAACTTAAAAGGCCTTTTAACATTTAAATTTTCTAACTGTGGTGGGATGCAGTTGATTTTGAGTGGTGATTTGAGGTCGACCAAATTTTGTTGTGTAAGTTCTAGTGATCTAGCAATATATATTTTTGGAATTACTTCAGGAGTAAATATTTTATATATAAATGGCAACTTATTTGATCTTTTCTAGTTCTTTCATCTTAACATTTATTTCCTTTTTGTCTTAATAAACTGGCTAGGGTATTTTTCCTGCATCTTTTGAGGTGGGTTATTTTATTTTATTTTATTTTATTTTAAATATTCCTTTATAGGTAAATTACATTGATTTTTCTAATGTGGAAATCTTTGTTGCAAAAATTCAACTTGTCATAGTGATCTTTACCTACACATTGACAGATTTGGTAGGTTAATATTTTGAAAATACTTTGTTTGTATCCATGTTAATAACTGTTGCAATATGTTAACTTTTAGATATATTAGGATTAGATTTTCATGAATAATCACCCGGTTTCTTATGCTATAAAAATGTCATTTTAACTTTGTTTTATGTATTCACACAGATTAATCCAAAGCTTGAGGTAATTGATTTGCAGATTGCCTGTCCTCCAGTTGTGGACATCCTTTCTTTTGATTCTGCCACAGTAAGTTAAATTTTTTTTAATTTAGGCGATATTTAATTGTTTGGCACAATCTATTTTGTTAAAAACCATGAGAGAAAGTGGAAATGTGGGCTAAACTAGCGCTTTAACTAGAAAGACCTTGTGTAGTCATCGTTGTAATGCACAGAAACAGACACAAGGTGGCGCAGCGCCGAGTTCCGGAGCAGCTTTGGCTCTGAAGCTTGCACTCAGCCTAGTCCCTGCGCGCGCACGCGTGACGCTGGCTGCTGCGCGCTGTCCTAGGGCGCGTTTCGCACTTTCATCTTTCAATTCCAGCTGTCCAACTAGAAGCTGCAGGGGGAGCAATCATCTCCCATGGTTAGTCACTTGATGAGTTGTCCAGAAATGAAGTTTTAATGCTCATAATTTTGTTTAGAAAACTTGGCGCGCAAAGGTTCAGAGGTGGGAAGCTGCAGCCTGGAGTCAGCGGCGGACCACGTCCTCGGGTCCTCGCCAGAGCTGGTGGGTGACGCCGGTGCGTGCAGAGCAGGCTGCTGAACGCAAGGAAGAAAGGCGGGGCCTTGGTTGACACTGCTCTCCTGCGTGGTGTCGTTTTAGTTAAATATTTTGAGAGAAGTTTTAATAACCTTACGAACTCAAGTTGACCTCAAGGACACCATCTACCGTGGAATTCGGTGGAGGACTCACCCAGCGTGAGTCCTCTGATTGTCAAGGGCCTTTCAATCCCACCGCAAGGAAGGCCCCTTCCTCTCAAAGGCCTCAGGGGCAAATGCGGAGCAGAATATCAACTGCGGGCCAGGCATGGGGGTGCGCGAATGCATTCCCCTCCCCGCAGTGGGGAGGCTGAAGCAGGAAAATCACAAGTGCAAGCCCAGCCTGGACAATTTAGTGAGATCGCCTGAAAATTAAAAAAAGAAAAAAACAAAAAACAGGTAGCCAAGAGGCTTCTTGCCAGAGGAAGTCTGAGACTCCGTGGTAACAGGACCTCGAGCTGCTCTGGGTCTTCCTGCCAGCATTTCCACATTAATGAGGTATACAATTAAAAACTGAAGCTGAGCGCGATGGCACACGCGTGGAACCTTAGCACGCTGGGAGCCCAAGGCTGGAGGATTTTCACATCAGAGTCCTGCCATGGCAATTTAGCAATGAAACCCTCAAAAATTATAGATAGATAGATAGACAGACAGACAGATGCCTACACAGGCCAGAGGTGTAGCTCAGTCTGAAAGCCATAAGACCTCAAAATTAATTAATTAAATATCTGGCCTTTAGTACCCTTTGCCAGTCTTCATGCTCTGAGGAATTTACATACTCATGACAGGTAGTGCTACAGAGCTGGGCATGACTGCCACCTGGAAAGGACAAAAGTGTCCCAGATGTGCCAAAATCAGCTGGTCTGCACTTCAGGACTTTAACTCAGGGAATGTGGTTACGTGGGGCTTTAAGGCAACAATTCCGGGTAGTAAACTTGCAATGTGTTTAACAATTGTGTTGGAAAACAGAATAAGATTGAGAAATAGTTATCCCTTGAAGGGACATTAGGTTGAATTATATGAAATTGTCATTTTCTAATACAAATCTGATACCAGTGACTTTATGGGTTACACTAGATCACATTAAAAGACAGATCCTACTCAGTTTTGAGTTGTGTACTTGCTACTGTATAAAAATAAAGCAAGCAAGCATGATACACAGGAAAAGGAAGTTTTGTTTACTCTCAGAAGGCCTGGAATTAGGCTAATGCAGTCCCACCCAGTGGATCCTTTTAGCATCTGGGAGCTCACTGCTGCCTCCAGCCTGGTCTTCACCAGCCCAGACTCCAGGCTTTAGAGCAGCTCTAAAGGTCTTTGCAAGGTTTTTGTTGTGTGGTGTCTTTCCTTTGGATCCCAGATAGAACACAGATTAGAAGATTTATGAGATGAACTGTTGCACTGTTTACTTTCCCCTCAATAAGGAGGTAATTCTCTCTCCATTGACTATTTTTCTTCTGCTTCTGCCCAACAGATGAATAAAACATGACCATAAAAAAGATTTGTGTCTGCTTTGGCATGAAGAATGTTGCCCTAAATATTTTTGCTATAAGCTTTGTATGTGATTTTAATTTTAAAAACTCAGAGAAATTTTGAAAATAACAACAAAAAGCAGTTTTTAAAGGTAGTTTTTGTTTTTGTTAATTAGGGTTACTGTTTCTTTTGGGGTTTCTTTGGCTTTTACAGACTAGAAAAAGGTACCTTAGAATCTCATTTCATCAAGGTGGAGTAGAAAAGATTACCTTTGTTAAACTTTTGTCAAATATTTTAGAGGAATAAAAGCAGGCTTTATATGGTGCGGGAAATAGTTGGCTTCTATTTTTGCTCTCATCTGAATTACATTCAGGAGGATTTTCGAGAGCGAAGTGTTCTGATAGCTTATCTACACTCTGATGTCTCACTGCCCTTCATCTTTAAAGCATGGTACAAAAACTGTCAGTAAAAGACGTATTGGCTCTCATAGAGACATCGTTTATAAAGATATTGATCTTCTCAAGGAGCTGAATTCTTATTTAGATTAAGTCATTTATTACATACTGCAGTAATTTTCTAAAGATTATCTGCTTCAGGATTTCATTTGAACCTTTCAGTGTTTTCATTAATTTAGTTGGAATCAATCCAGGATTCTGTCACCAGAATCGTACTGGAGCAGGCTAGAGATACAGCTCAGTGGTCCAATGAATCTCCGGGTTCAGTCTCTGGCACCCCCCAAAAGCAAACAAAACACCTCAAAGTACCACTGATATGTGACATGGCTACAGGGGACGCTCCTAACCCCTTACCCGTTCCCGCCCCCAATGGGATGGATGGATGTGTGCGTGCAGTTTTGTTTTGTTTCAACTTACTGTAACTAAAAGTTCTTCTAAAATGTTCTAGGACCATTAGACTTCTTATCTTTAGATAAATGACATTAAGTGTACTGAGGTGCTGGACTTGTTTTCCTGCAACTGAATAAAGTGCAGGTAGTAATCCTGCTGTTTGTGTGATGATCGAAGACACAGAATCCTCAGCTACAGGCAACATGGGGTCCTCATCTTTATCCTGGCAACTGTGCAGAGTATGAAATGCGTCCTTTTCTTTATATTAGGGACAGAATTTCAGGTCAAATTAATTTTTTACAATAAACTAAGAACTCCTAATCACATTATGGGAAAAAACAAAACTAAGAATAAGGAGTCTTTGTTACTCCAGACATCAAAATGAAGGTATTATTCAAGGTGCTGAGGGGGAGGTCCAGGTGGCGGCCTGACCTGTAGGCTGGTAGAAATACCCGCTTAAGAAACAGATATCAACCGCAAGAGCCTTTTGCCAAGTGCAGAGGACTACCACTGCAAAGTTGTTTATGAGAATATTCAGAAGGGGTCCTTAATGGGCTAGAAGAGATTAAAGAACTTCTCTAACAGAAAATCTGATCGCTACTTGGCCAAACAGACCTGGGCATGATTTCGGTAGGATCATTCCAGAGGGGAAAGCACGGTGTAAGTGGGGGCCTCTGACGGAACTGCAAACCTGCACCACGGTAATACAGGTGCCGCAGTCTAGTGTGGGGTCTTCACACTGCATAACTCAACCCAGGGCAGAGGGGCAGGGTCTGGGGGGTACACACTCGGATACTACATATCATCTCCTAGTAAGTGTTGGTTAAGTAGCTATTCTGCCAGTCGCCATTCTTAGCTTGAAAAAAAATTAACAAAACAAGAATATCTGCCCCAGAGAGGCCTACATTCCATATTCAGGTCAGGGAAATGGCAACTCACAGATTAAAAACGTGAATAAACAAACTTTGTAGTATAGTGAACCCAAAACCACAAAGGTTTAAAAGCAGATAGGAAGAGGCTACAGTTTTAGGTAACGTGGCCTGGACAAGAATCATTGGAGGATGATAGAAGGCCAGAGGAGCCACAGGGGGTTTCTGTGGAGGCCAGACGTGGGGTGGCTTAGGCCTTAGCAAGTTCAGTCCACTGCAGTGTGAAAGCAGGCTGGGGAAGGGGTAACTAGGAAGCTAATGAAGTGATCAGCCTTAGGGGCCCAGGCAGAGGCCAAGCGGGTGGTAAGTGATCCCGCCCTGCATGTATTTTGAAGACAGGGCCAAGAGGATTTCCTGACAGGTTGGATGTCAGCTGTGGGATTCCCTGTCTCCTTTCCCCAGGGACAGTAAGGTGTAGCTGAGACTTATCTCCTGGCTCTGCCTGGGTTTGGCAGAGGAACTGCTGAGAGAAAAAGAATCATGGTTTTCCTGTCTTCAGTTGTAGGGTCAGGGAAAGCGATCAGCTGAATCAGTACAAGAGATACTCCCGTTTCCGTGTACTCCTTCCTAAATGCCATTTCGTTTTGCATTTTTCAACAAAAGTGTATGGGTTTTCTTTTGGAAAGAATTTTGCGTTCATCTGTTTTTCAGAAGAAAAAGATCAATTGGCTTTCGTGGAGACTCACGAGCTATATGCTTCCTCAAAACTATTAACATATTGACAAACTGTATGGACACAGGAGACTGGGAGAAACAGAAAGCATGCCTCTGCGGCTGTTGTGGTGACAGTGCATCCTGGTTACCAGACAACATTGCATAACTAGTTCAGAGTTATTTCAGTTCCTAACTGCTTATATAAGCAAAGATTTGGAAAGACTTATTTGAAAGAACACAGTGTCTGCAAACTTAAATGTCTCAGAACTAAGATTTTTAACTCTGAAAGTTTAAAGCGACATATGCAATTGATCGTCCCCACATCCCCCCTTCCCTTTCTAGAAAAGTTGATAAAACTCAAGTTGCACAAACCTCTTGCTTCCTCTCCTTTTTGTACGCTAATTTTTTTTTTTTTTTTGATGGTATCGAGGATCGAACTCACGGCTGTGGTTGTACGCTAACTTTCCTGGAGTGACTTACATATACCTTCTAACTTAGGGTAACAGAGGTGCTTCAAAATCTTTTAAGCGTCACAGCAGTCAGGAAGGCTGCATCTACCTTTTAAGTGTAGCCCATGACTTCTGAAAGGAGGGTGCATGTGCCATTTCCCAAACTTTAGGAAGCAGTCATTTTTGTGGTGTCTCCAAGCACTGGCTCAGTAGCTTCTCCTCCCCGCCTCCCCCAACGCACCCCACACACACCCTGCAGCTCTGAAAGGAACCGCACTTAAGCTTTGGTCGGATCCAGGCCGCTGCCCTGCCAGCTGGTGCTTCCCTCAGTGTGCAGACTCATGATTTGGTCTTAACTTCAAATGGCAGTAAATTCTAAGGTGCTTAATAGGGGGAGAGGATGGACTCTTCTTGAGATTTGAGAAGTAATCTAAATCTTCCTCTTCGAAATTGAAACGTGAAGTAATTGAATTCTCAAAGACATTTTAAAAATAAGAAATATAATTAACAAGTAAATGGCACTGTGTGACATTTTTACAGCTCCCCCACCAATAGAGATACGTAACATGTATTAGATATACATATATAATTTTTCAGCTACAATCTTTAAAATAAAGTGAAATTATTACAGATAGGAAAGAGATAATTTCCAAGTTGTTTTTGCTTTAGAAATGTACCATGATCCATAAGTTTAAAAATCTATTAACAGTTGTGATTTGAGGCTTTAAAAAAAAAAAAAACTTCAATTAATGTTAAAACAAAAACACACACAACTAAAAGTTTTCATCTGTTAAGCATAACATCTTTGTTTAAAGACAGTGCCCTTGGAAAAAGAGATTGTAATAGAGTAGGTCAGAGATCTTTTTAAAATTACTCCAAATTAAGTATGCTCCTTCCTAAAAGACACAAAAATAACTAAGCCCCACATATTTGATCAAGACATACTAAAAATCTGACTGACTTGAGTTTTTATGCAAACTAAATATTTAGGAATTGTCCTCATTAAATAATTTGTGCAGTGATACTGGTCCTTATTCCTGCTGACTGACATGGTTTTTACTTCAGCTTTTCTGCACAAAATGTCTTCAGGGAGACGACAAAGGAAGCTGTGGTAGAGGATTTCATGCAATGTGCTCTCTGGGAGCCCTCCCCAGTGGCTAGGCTTGTCGGGTTTCCTTTGGAAAAGCAGCAGGTTTCTGGGAACCGGCGTCCTGAATTCCAGGTATTATCTCTGTGCACGTCCAGTTTCCTGAGCCGCTGCAAGCCCGGCAGCCCGGGCCTGGGGAGCCGCGCTGCAGCCCGGGTGCCCACAGCTGAGGCCGCGGCGAGGCTCAGGCACGCCGAAAATGCCCAGCAGCCCTCCGGTAACAACTGGCTCCTTCCTCTTCCTGCGGAAGAGCGCCATCCTCCGAGCTGCGAAAAAACCTTTGCACCCCGAGGAATGCAAGAGCGGCAGCGAGCTCTTCACACAGGAAGCGGCCGGCCGGGTGGGACGCTGAGCAGCGCCTGTCCCCTTCCTGCCCACCAGGAGCCGGAGGGGTGGGGGTGGGGCCGAGCCCGAGGCCAGCTGGCCGCAGCATCTCTACCCGCTGCTCCCACCGTGAAGCCCAGCGGCTCTGCTCCTTTCCCTGGCCCCGACAGTGAATTATTTGGGGGATGGAGGTAGCCAGCCAGTCTGCGAAAGTAAACTCCTCAGTGAGTGCTTTGTGCTCTGTGGAGCCCAGCTATGTCAAGTATCTTAGGACTCCAAACCTCCTAATCTTGGGTAACCAGCTATGAAGGCCCAGTGCCAGCCCGGGCCTGGTTCTGACCTTTTCAGTTGCCTTGCTCTTTCCTTTCTGGGACAGTCAGGTATGACTGGTGGGAGATGTCCTGTGGGCACACAGCCGTATGTCCGCAAGCACAGAGAAAACTTAGGTACCGCGTTGCTTGAAGTCAGTCGGTCAACCTCATCATGTCAATTTCAGGCTGACTTTGGTAATTAACCAGTGTTTGAAGACAGCTGGATTCTCTGGTTTTTCCTAATCGCTAAAGGATTGTGTTTCTTTTTTGCTTGAGGCAGTGATGATCACTCCAAAGCTCAGATTGTATAGCACATGTACTCACTAAACTGTTTTTCCAAATCACTAGTATTTTGGTGAACTTCAGGGTTTATGGTGGCAGAATTCTTTTACTTCTCATGTATTTATTTGGAGTATTTTGCTGAAGCACAGAAGAGTTACTTGTTTGTTTTAAATTGAAGAGGAGATGGAAAAGGAATGCCAAGCATTTCCTCCTCTTTTTCAGAATGTCCCTGTAATGAGCATTCCTCTTTTCTCCTTATGAACAAACCATTTCAGCTGTTGCTGAGATGTCCTCCAAGCCTCTGGTTTCTAATGGTCCAGCCCTTTTCTTTTGTTTGCCAAACCCGGTGAGGTTCCGAGTTGTTCCAAGGCTCCAGTATCACTCCCCACCTGAGAGTTCCCTTTTGCCCTTTCAGACTTGTAAAACGCTTCAAGCGATTCCCTGTGGTAAATTCTCTCTTAAAATAATTCATTTCTGCTTTCCTGCTGCACCCTGAGAGTTCCATAGTAAACCACCCTAAAGAAATAAAATATACACACAAAGATTTCTACTCAAGTATGTATCTTCCTGCAGTTTTAAAAACAACGATGAAAAGAAACGCAAGCCAAATGTGTGTTAATAAGGTATTGGTTAAAAGAAAGTGCAGTATATGAACAGGTAGAATAGTATATAGTCAGTTATGTTTAATGACAAGTAAATGCAGTGTGATTTTGCCTTTGATCCCAGACCAGTGGGAAAATTGCTTTAAGAGGACATTATTAAAACAACTGGGAAGTATTGAATGTACACTAAATTTTAGATGCCTGTTAAATTTCCTGGTTTTCTAACATACAGGAAATCGATCTTGTCCTCAGAACACATCCCTGCTGTAATTCAAGTAGAAAGGGCGTGATGTCTCAGCTTCTCTCAAAAGATTCAGGGACAAAAAACCCTCCTGGATGGATAGATAAATGCAAAACTGATCAATCCAGGTGAAGACTATATGAAACCTTTTTCTTATTCTTATTTCTCTCTTATTTCTTATTTCTCTTTTTTCTTAGTCTTATTTCTCTAAGTTTGGGATGATTTCAGAACAAAAAGGTTTTGAGAACAAAAAACTATACTTCCCTGTATCGTGGGAATAATTTACATGTCATCTGTAGAAAAGTACATTACGAACAGGATGATTCTGGTTTAGTGAATGGAGAAAGTGTGTGTATACCTTTAACAGAATTCCCTCCAAGTGCCTTGTCTGTGTCACACACTCACCTGGCTCTTTGGAACCTAGAAGCCCTGAGAAAAGGCCTTGTCTTCCAGTCCCCAGGGGCTCAGAGGACAGTCCCCGTGGAGCTTGATCCCAGGGTTGCAGGCCCACTGTGCTGAAATGCCAGGAAGAGCCTGGTGGGAACAGCTGACAGAGCGGAGCAAGGCTTCCATCTGGGGCCCTCTGGTCTCCTCTGCCTTCCTGGGCAGAGCCGGACAGGGACCCCACTGACAAAAGGAAACTGTAGTTTGTAGGGTCCCCCATCTTTAGACCACAGAGTTCTGAAGAATGGATTTGGAACCAAGGGATGCATTCTATACCATACAAGGAATTGTTGGATTCAAGGATAGGAACTCTTTTTTAAAAAAGCTTCATAAGACAAATTTTATTCTAGAATATGCACAGAAATATTGATTCCCACTAGTATATAGATTTCCTGTTTCCTATACTGTTAAAATATACTAGGTATTATATTTATTTTTAGTCGCTTAATATTTTAAAAGTCAGAAGACTTATAAGCAAGAAATATTATCAAGCTTGCCTCCCCCTCGCTTACTAAATACTGAACCCAAATTCTTTACACTAATTATATTCTCGACCCTTTTTAGAGATTATAGATATGTATGTACCACCATACCTGGTTGTGAATTTCTTTCTTTTTTCTTTTTTTAGTGATTTAGACACTTTGACTTTTGTTCATAAATTCCTGTTCACTTGTGTTTCTGAGAATTGCCAACTTGTTTATTTTTCTCATTTTCCTTTTTTTTGGTCTTTTTGAGACGGGGTCCTCCTATGCAGTTCAGGCTGGCCTTGAGCCACTTTGTAGCCCAGGCTGATCGCAGACTCTCAACAATCTGCTTGCCTCAGCCTCCCAAGCGCTGGGATTACAGCTGTGAGCCTCCACGCCAGGCTCCTATTATTTTGTTTTAAAATTGACCTTTAATGGGGCCAGGGATATAGCTCAGCAGCATAGTGCCTACCTGGCAAGGGCAAAGTCTTGAGTTCCATTCCCTATACCAGATGAATAGATAAAATTGACCTTTAAGTCATTTTAATTCAGAAGTCCTTTTGCCGCATGTTACAAAAATGTTTTCTGGGTCAAGGATATAGCTCAGTGGCATAAATGCCTGCATATTGAGCACAAGGTCCTGAGTTTGATTTCAGGTACCAAAAAAAAAAGCAAGGCAGAGAAAAAAAAAGAAAAGAAAAAATTTTTTCCATGTTTGTCATTTTGCCTTGAATTTTGTTTCTGATCATTGATAGGTTTCATGTCATTAACTACTTGAAAACTATTGTTTTTATTTTATGGTTTGTTTGGATGCTATGCAAAGAAAGTCTCCTCTCCCAAACCCCCAATGTATCTTTAGCTCTGCTCCTTAAGGTTTTATTTTTGACAATAAAGTCTTAGATTCTGAACATGTTAACTGAATTTTGAGTACAGGGTTATACTAACAGCGTCCTCTGAATCCATCATTTCCCCACTGATTGGAGTGACCTTCAGTATCACATTCTCTGCAGAGAGTTTTCCCTCCTTGGTTTGTTCTTCATTCTTTACTTTGTGAATTATAGACTATTTCTTAAAATGTAGCACATTTTTTTCCTCCATGTATTTTTGGATATTATTCTCTTTATCTATACACACTTCACATTGATTCCACTTGGTCTCCCAAAACTCCTCCTGAAATGTGGATTGACTTTCCATGAGATTTATAAAATAATCTGAGGAGAATTGCCAACTTTATCCCCTTGAGTTGGTCATCTAGGAATGCAGCACTACAGATAATTTTAGATTTTCCTTGAATCAGGTTTAGGAGCACTATAATTACATTTCTGTGGTCCCCCTAAAAATGACCACTATTTTTAATGTACTAATTAGCATTTTACATCCTTACTTAAGCTTGCTCATGGATTCTCTCAGCCCACAGTTTAACCTTGAAGAAATTAGGCAACCAGGCCAGAGTTCCCCGGATAGGAAGTGAGGTAAGCAAGCCAGGTCTGGGCTGGATTAAAGTCCCAGCCTGAGCCTGCAACCGACCCAGCTCCCCTGAGTGAAGAGACCCGATCACACGCCTTGTCCCTTTGAATCCTCGTTTTAGCTTTCTTGTTAACCTAAGTAAGTATTTCTTCACTGTAGTACAGTAATCACCGAGGCCTGATGTCAGTATCTCTGGTTGAAAAAGAAAAGACGAAAAGGCTGAGCATGGAGGACCTGTCCCGAGTGGGAGCAGGTGGGAGCGCTGCTGGTCGAGTCGGTGCTTCGTTCAGTTAACTGTGGAGGGTGCCTTGAGGTTTTGCATTTTACCTCCTCCCACTTCCTTAGTACCAGACTTCAGTGAGTACAAGTCCTTGACTTGGTGTCAGAACTGTCATAAAATAATCGTTTATAAGATACGCTTATCTCTTATTGATTATCCAGAAAGTATGTCACATAGCATGTTGGGGTCAGGCTGGGCAGGCCTAGTGACACGGACATAGCTGCCTGGTCTGAACACCGTTTGACCTCTCGGATTTATCTGTTTTGGTGGGTTTTGATGTTACTGCCCAGCTGCTGCTACCCTGGGTCCTCAGCCCTGACCTGGACTATTTTTTCTAAAAGAGGATGCTCTTTGTGGCAGGAATTGTGTATGCGGTTTTCTTTGGTGGTGTTATTGCTGTTAGTTCTTGTGGGTGTTGATACCATTTCCTCTGTGGAGCAGATAAAAATATCAATTTACAATGGATTTGGTTAGCGAGATTTTTATGCAGTGCATTGTTTTTTTCCGTTGACTTTTAAACAGAGCTGTGTTTTTTTAGTAAGTATCTTGAATTTACTGGGTTCGAAATCTTGTGGGCAAGGCTGGAAACCATGCCCAAGCCTCTTAAAGTGTTGCATTTTGTTTTGTTTTGGTGATTTGACCATTAGGCAACTATTTGCA